ATAAATCAACAGTCGAGGAAAGAAGATTTGATTCAACGTTAACACGGTCAAAAGGTTTAAAACAAAGTTTCAGGTAAAAATTATTGTTTATTCTAATGTCTTATTGCATAAATTGAATCAAACAAAGCCTAATAATAGAGAACTGCTGAACAGTGTTTTCAGTTGACAAATTGCTAATACTGTCGCGCACGATGAAACCCTTAAGTTTTGTTTGTTGTCAAACCCTAAAGTAAAGTTTTGAACTAATATATACCTCGCATAGTGTTGCTTCTTAAAATTAGGCAAAAGTCAATTCAAACACTAAAAAAATGATACTTATCTTAAAGAAGAAACTCCTCTTTGTGGAGTTATATTAATTAAAAAAAACCATAATCATAACATTGAATGTGTTGATTCAATGAAGTACTTGCAAGTATCTTTAGATACAAAAGAACATTTTTACAATTATTTTGATAGTGGATTAACTCCAGCACAAGCGAAACGCATGCATGCAGATAGTTTTATATATAATGAAAATGGCCCGTTTCTCTTAGCTGATGCCTCTCTGAATCCTTCACAGCTTACAATATACTATTTATACAGCCTATGGCAAGAAAAACATTTTGCTATTAAAAGCCCTTTAGAGTTGATAAAAAATAAAAGAAGCATATTTCAAGAATCAGGTAAAATGATACAAGAGTTGTAAATATATACCAGTTTGATATACAATTAATGCTTTTTTTTAATTTATATTTTTCATATTAAATTAAATAAATCATAAATTTAAAAGAAATATTAGATATTAGCAAAAAAAGTCTACATATTTATAGGTTTTTTTTAACATGGATTATTCCATATCAAATCACCAAGTAAATCACCTAGTAGTCATAAACATATTAAATCTCAAAGAACTAACAAATATCAGAAACTGGTAATGACACTGATTATGTCATTATTATTAGTACAAATTAAGACATAATGTCATTAAAAAGAAAACTGAATATATTCATTCACAGATAAATAAACAGTATACTACTGTCATCCCTATGACTAATTATTAGACTATGACCTTAGGCTAGCTCATAGTCTAATAACATTCTCCTTTTGAAAATATCATCACTCTCAAAAGGCTACAATCATGTCATAAGATAAAGTATAGTTCTTTGAATTTTTTTTAGTGATTGTCTATATATAGAACCTCAACATTAAAAAGTTTTATGATTTATTTCAACTGTCTACACTACTTTCTACGCCAGCAAAGTTGGTGTAATTTATCATAATTTAAAAAAAAAGTGATTTTTTAGTAGGCTGCTGCATGTGGTAAATTAATTTTTAATGCAAAATTTTGATTATTCTAACAAGTGGTAACCCTAAGTACACAAAAGTAACAAAAAAATTCACTTTCTGTAAGTAAGTATTAAACTGTAACACGTTAAAGTTACAATAACTCAAAAACTGTAAAAAATCAGTCAAAAACAACTGCAATAATGGATTATCTGGGGGAAAAACTATTACCCTGCAAAATTTCAGGTGATCACCATCTTTATTTAAAAAGTTATGGTTTGTCAAAAATCGAAAAAAACTGCTGTAAGCTCCTGATACACAAATTTTTCTGATTTTGAACATTTTTAATTCAATCATAACTTTTGAACGAATTGATCAATCGAGCTGAAATTTTCTGGATTGTATTTTTTTCATAAGATCTGTATGTGGTCAAAATTTAAAGCTAATCTGAGGTGGTACCCTGGGAGCCTTTAGGTGATTTGATATGGAATAACCCACATGCAAAATAACAATAAATTATTTGGAGTAAATTAGTTTAACTTTAGTAAAATGTCTTTTAAAACAAGCATGGAAATGATGTGGACAGTGGTAATTTTAATGTAGGTGCTTTAGTGTCTGTAATTGAAGCAGAAGCAAAATGATCTGTACTAATTGCAACTGATGGGATGAAAAGAAATCAGAGAAGAAAATCTTCTTCAGAAATTGTGTTTGTTGACACTACTTCTTCTTGTGATATTTCACAAACAAATGTTACAGTCATCTCTACATGTAGTCCTGCAGGTAGTATACCCATTGCTATTTTATTACATGCAAACAAAACAGAAGAGAACTATGAACAAGCTTTTAAACATTTAAAATCTGAATGTCCAACATGTGAAATGTTTTACAACAAGTCATATGAAATGTTTTACAACAAGTCATATGAAATGTTTTACAACAAGTCATATAAAATGTTTTACAACAAGTTGTGACAAAAATCTGACAAGATAACTATTGAATCTATTGAATTGTTAGAGGGTAACAATTTTAGTGTTCCAAGTTTTAAAAATTCTAATGATAAGTATATAGTAAATAGTGATGTTGGATATTGTTCATGCATTAGTGGTCGCCAGGGAGGATTTTGTAAAGACATGGCTGCAATACACAAACTGTTTAAAATTAGTTTTCTCTGCGCCCCACCAATAACATCTGATGACAGATATGAACTTGGAAAACTTGCACTGGGGCTAAAGTGCCCCAAGCCGGAATTTTTTCTTAATTTGAGAGATATCAATGAAGGGGAAAATGAAACAATTTCAACTCCAATAAGTTTGTAAATTAAATTTGCAGTATTTGCAAGTAATTATGTACTTATAATTTATTATAATAATTCCTTAATGTTGAAATAATGCTTTTAACAATTGATAAAAAAAGAATAAAATTATACTTGTTAAAATATCAATTAACTTCTATCTATTTACCAGTTAAAAATCAAGGAAGTAGTTTGAATTCTATCAACAAAAAGGATGTACATATTTTATTTTTAAAATCAAATAAAGAAAAAATTGCTACTGAAAAATTTGAATCCATAGATTATAAGTGTGAGGAAGCTTTATCTGAATTTAGAAGACTGTTAGATTTAGCCAAAATAGATCCAGAATCAAAAAAAATTATTAACAACGTAAAATTGAGTCTGAAAAATATAAAAACCACAGGAGGTGCTTTGGCTATGCTTTTATCATTAAAAACATCAGTACATTCGAATAAAAGAAATGGGAAAATTAAAACACAGCCGACTGCAGTTGCAAGACGAAGAAAAGGTCTGTCACGTGGTAGTAGGCCAGTGCCAATGGGAAGACCCACTAAAATCGAAACCCAAAAACAATTTAAAGTTAGGCGACCTAGAGATTTGAAACAAGCTGTTTCACAAAATGTTGTTAACGCAAAAAGTCATTAATGTTGACTTATTCCCTCATATTTTCTTACTCTATTTATACTACATGCTTTTAAAGTACACTTTTCCAATCTTTTGATATATATATATATATATATATATATATATATATATATATATATATATATATATATATATATATATATATATATATATAAAAAGTTAATGTATTATTATGGTATATAAATAATAATACTAATACTCTTATGCGTATGAGAATGCACAATATTATTAAATAATAGAGCAATATTTACTTATATAAAATGAATAAAAACAACTTATATATATACATATATATATATACATATATATATATATATACATATATATATATATATATATATATATATATATATATACATACATATATATATATATATATATATATATATATATATATATATATATATATATATATATATATATATATATATATATATATATATATATATACATAAAAAGTTAATGTATTATTATGGTATATAAATAATAATACTAATACTCTTATGCGTATGAGAATGCTCAATATTATTAAATAATAGAGCAATATTTACTTATATAAAATGAATAAAAACAACTTTTTATGGAACTCTGAGTTTCATGCCTGTTGCCAACAGGCATGAAACTCAGGGTTCCATATTTTTTTATTCGTTTTATATATATATATATATATATATATATATATATATATATATATATATATATATATATATATATATATATATATATAGCTATCAAAATGTTTTTACTTATCCCTTATATATATATAAATACTTTTCTAATCAAAGACTTAATGTTTAATCCTGGCTAAAAGCACTCAAAATAATTTGTTCTAAGTAGTCTCTTTATTACATATTATATATTATTAAAAAAATGGTTAAATTCAGATTTCCTCAAATCCATGATTCAATTCACAAATCAAAACCTGCTTCAATTTGAGATTCAATTCACTAATCAATTTGTAGGGCCCTAATATATATACATATATATATATATATATATATATATATATATATATATAATATATATATATATATATATATATATATATATATATATATATATATATATATATATATATATATATATATATTAGGGCTGGGCAAGTTAACGCGTTATCATCGCGTTAAAGCATTAATTAATTAACGCCGACAATAATTTTATCGCGCGTTAACGTACTTTTTATTTTGAAAGTCTAAAAAGTGAAAAGCAAACTTTTTAATTTAAATTTAATAGTTCATTAAACTAAAAAGTGACAGGGCTGCACAAAATTCATCAAAACAGACTTGTCAATCTTTAGTTTACAGAACTATTAAATTTAAATTAAAAAATTAATCTCCAGATTTTATTATTGTAAAAAAATATATTTTTTTGCTAAGTTTTTATGAAATTTTTTTTTTCCACCTATTAGTCTTTACAATGAGTTCATTATGAGTTTTTGCCGCTCGTTTTTTTTTAAGATTCACAAGCTTAACTTTATTTTTCTTTTGTGAAACTGTCTGTCAAAGTTTTCGTTTCTCATTTTATATTTTTTGCTTATTATTGCTTATAATTATTATTATATTAATTTATATTAGTATTAATATATTAAAAAAGTTATTTTGCATTTTTTATTTTTACGTTTATTTATAGTTTTGTTTATTTATTTTGTATTGTTTCAAAATTATATAATAATCAAATTATAATTTAATTATTTATAATTCGATAATAAGCGAATCATAAAAGAATTGAAACTTTCGTGCGTATTTATGTTATTGCTTATGCTCAAACAACAAGCAGTAAGTAAATTGAGAAATATTTAAAAATGGAAAAAGGTACCGAAATTTTAAACGAACACTTTTATTTTAAACCTCTTCAACAAGAAGTAGATAGAACTAAAGCTATTTGTAAACACTGCAAAGCGGAATTTTCTTATCATCGGAGTACTTCAAGTTTGAAGTATCACTTAAATGCAATGCACACCGTTGATGCTAACAAATCATCCACCCAAAAAAACAGTGGAGGAAACCTTCGGCAGACTACGTTAGATGCAGCACGAGGAAGAACTACAGAGAAACAAAAGAAAGACAAGATAACAAATGCCATTGCAAAGTGGGTAGCTACAAATTGCAGGCCAACTAGTATTGTGGAAGATGTCGGTTTGAAGAATGTTATTCGGATCGCAACGAATGACTGCACGTATGAGCCTCCGCCAAGACGCACCATTGTAAGAAAAATACATGAACTGTATGAAAACGAGAGGACTATAAAGGCAACGGCATTACAACGTGCACAAACTGTTGCCCTCACCGGAGACTACTGGACATCGCTGGGTAACCATAATTATCTCGGAGTAACTGTGCATTACATTGATGAACAATGGAAACTGCATTCACATGCTTTGACAGTAATGAAGACACAAGAAAGACATTTTGCTGAAACGTGCGCAGAACATTTCATTCATGTTGCACAGCAGTGGGACATTTTAAATAAAGTCAGCACACTTAGCACAGATTGTGCTAGAAATATTGTCGCTGCTGCAAGACATCTGCCATTTGAACGCGTCCCTTGTGTCGCTCACAGTCTTCAGCGTTCTGTCACAGTATCTTTGCACAACAGCGCGTTTGACAATGCCCTGACTAAATGCAGAAAGGTGGTGGGCCATTTTAAACACAGTCCAGCAAGTGCTGCAGAATTAGAAAAAAAACAAATTGAGCTTGGACAAAAGAAGGGGTCGCTTATACAAGACATTCCAACCAGATGGAACTCGACTCTGGACATGATAAAAAGTGTTCGCAGAAACGAACAGCCACTGTACGATGTCCTCACCACACACAACACAAAAGTTGCTATGCCAACTCCAGTTGAAATGGACAAATTGCAGAGGTTGGAAAAGCTCCTAGAACCCTGCAGGTATATTTTACATCATATATTTCTTACTGACTGGTTTGATTGCATGTGAGAGAATTGATGTGTCTGTATTTGTGCGTAAGCATGAACATGAGAACACTTTTTGTGTGTATAAGTGAATGCAAAACATTTGAGTGAAATGGGTTTTATTTTTTGCAGGTATGTGACTGAACTTCTGGGTGGAGAAAAGTACGTTTCATGCTCTGTGGTTCTGTCTGCTTTATGCCATCTCTCTCGGGTGATGGAGAGCTCAGATGATGACCCGGCCTATGTAGTCAAATTCAAGTCTATGTTCAGAATAGATCTGGAAACACGCAAGGAAAATGCCAACATTGCATATCTAAAGATTGCAACCGCATTGGACCCGAGATTCAAAGACCTCAAGTGAATACCCAGAGTTGAGAGAGGTGAGGTGTGGGTCTCAATCACTAACTTACTCAAGGAACAGAGGGTTATTGCAGATGAACCTGTGGAAGCAGCATCATCAAAGCCATCAAAGAGAAAATTTGCTCTATTGGTTGCTTCATCAGAGTCTGATTCTGAACAAGAGGAAGACTCAATTGAAAACGGTGTGCGTCGGTACAAAGCAGAGCCCACCATCAGTACAGAGGCCTGTCCATTACAGTGGTGGTCCAAACATGCAGGCTCACACAACAGGCTGGCCTCAATTGCACAGAAGTACTTGGCAACACCTGCAACATCTGTTCCTTGTGAAAGATTGTTTTCTCTTGCTGGTCATATTGTACAAAAGAAGAGAGTTTCTTTATCATCTGAAAATGTAAATTACCTTGTTTGTCTTAGTAACTGGCTTGGTGCAGATGAGTAAGTAAAGTTGGAAGAATGGATAAAATTGTTTAAAGTTTTGACAAACTAAAAGTTATGTTAATTTAACTATGAAAAAATAAATTTACGCTATATATATACTACTTGTGGTTTTATTATTGAAGTTTTCGTATTTCTGCGATTAATCGCGATTAATCGCAAAAAATCATGCGATTAATCGCGATTAAAATATTTAATCGTTGCCCAGCACTAATATATATACATATATATATATATATATATATATATATATATATATATATATATATATATATATATATATATATATATATATATATATATATATATATATATATATATATATATATATATATATATATATATATATATGTATATATATATATATATATATATATATATATATATATATATATATATATATATATATATATATATATATATATGTATATATATATATATATATATATATATATATATGTATATATATATATATATATGTATATATATATATATATATATATATATATATATATATATATATATATATATTTATATATATATATATTTATATATATATATATATATATATATATATATATATATATATATATATATATATATATATATATATATAAATATACATATATATATATATATAAATATATATATATATATATATATATATATATATATATATATATATATACATATATATATATATATATATATATATATATATATATATATATATATATATATATATATATATATATATATATATAGAATATATATATATATATAGAATATATATAAATGTATATATATACACATATATTTTTGAATATTAATTCATAATAAACTTGATTTACAATTTGGGTGTTTATTGCCAAGGTAAAATCATAATTTTCAGGTGATAATAATAAAAAAGTAAACAAACGCATTTTCCAACAACAAAGAACATTACTAACAAACAAACATTATAGTTTGTAATGTTACCTGTAATTCTTACCTTAAATCAATTTTTTTCTGACTGCTGGCTAATGATTAAAAAGTAAATTTTAAACCATGAAAATCTACTAAATTAAAATCATATTTCAACAGTTGATTAACTAATACAAAATAATGGCTGTGATTGAACTGTAAAAAAAAAGGAAAAAAATAATTAAGTTTGTAAACAAAATAAAATAACTAAAAAATTAAAAGAATATAATCCTTCTAATTAAGAAATCGTATAAGCATAAAATTAGCTTATTTTTGTTTACACAATTTTTTTAAATTATATATGACATTACCAATTAAAGATTCTTAACATTTAACAAAAATGTAAAAAAAAATTAAGTTATATCTTAAAAAGTTTAAAAATACCATTTTTTTATAGGATTATAGTTTCATGGCTATAATTAGGATTTAAGGTGATTAGGAACTTTAATAAGCTTTATTAAGGATTTAATAAGGATAATTTCAAAATATAGATTATTGCTAAAATATCTTTAAAAAAATTGAAAAAAAAAATTGCTAAAAACTAAGATAAAAACTAAAAATATAAAAAAAAATTGTTAAAAACTAAAAATATTTCCATAAGGGTTTATCAAAGTAATAAAACCATCAACGAAAATAATGGTAAAATTTTTTAATTTTTTTCTATATTCGTGCATTTTATATAATTATCTGCATAATCAAATTGAATTATTCCAATATCAAATATCATTTGCATATTCTTGCTACGTGTAGATAGATTTTCTCCTCTGATACAATTTCATTTATAAACTGTATCATTATAAAACTTTATCATAATAAACTACTTCTGTATTAAGTAAAATAGTAAGCGCCAAGTATAATTTTTATTAAACAATTACAATTACGAAATTACCAATTTGAAATAAATAATAAAATAATAAACATACAAAATAATAAACAACAACAAAACGTGAACGTCTGCATAATTTTTGCAGACTTGCCTCTCTTTTAAAATCAGCAAATCAGATTGCGCATTTGAGTGGCTATTCTGTGCTTATAGAGGTTTTGTAAAGTCGCTTCCCGACTAAGCCTGATTAATAATAGTTTTAAAGTTTAAAAGAAACTCTTTAATTAAAGAACAATATTTTTTTTACAGACGCGATCGAGAAAAGCTAGAGATAGAACGTATGCTCAACCTTACAAAAGAGGAGGGCAGAGAAGAATTACGTAGAAAACCTAAAATAATTACTAACAAAGGAACAAAGGGAAAGTACATGCTTCTTCAAAAATATTACCACAGAGGAGCATTTTTCATGGTTAGTTACCTTTTTTGTTAGTTATTAAAAGACCTCTTCTTATGGTTGTTAAATGTAAATTATTAAAAGAAAATTTTTTTTTAATGTGATAATTAGTTTTTTTAAATTTTCAGGACAAAGAAGAAGATATATTCAAACGCGACTTCACTGGCGCAACACTTGAAGACCACTTTGATAAAACAGTTTTACCAAAAGCAATGCAAGTTAAAAATTTTGGACGATCTGGACGTACAAAGTATACTCATCTTGTTGATCAAGATACAGCTCAGGTAATTTTTTAATTAAGCTTAATTTTAGTTTAAATTTTTTATATTTTGTAACCTTGGTCAAAAAAATGAAATATATATATATATATTACAAGCATTAAAACATCAGAAATAAATAAAGAAATAAATAGTGTATATATATCTATGTGTATATATATATACTATTTATAAAATGGTCAGAAAAATGAAATATATATATATATATATATATATATATATATATATATATATATATATATATATATATATATATATATATATATATATATATATATATATATTACAAGCATTAAAACATCAGAAATAAATAAAGAAATAAATAGTGTATATATATCTATGTGTATATATATATATATACTATTTATAACCTTCAGAATTAGGGTCAGCATTCGGCAAAGACGACCTATCTGCCGACCTGAACGTGTTTGAGGTTGGCAAAAAATTGTCTACTTCATTTCTATGTTTTTTGGCTAGACCTTTGTATCAAATAATTTTTGACTTGATGCCGACCTCTAAAAGATTGAGATCGGCAAATTATTACCGAACTCTTTTTTCCTATTTCCAAGGGTTATATATATATATATATATATATATATACATATATATATGTATATATATATATATATATATATATGTAATATATATATATATATATATATATATATATATATATATATATATATATATATATATATATATATATATATATATATATATATATATATATATATATGTATATATATATATATATACATATATATACATATATATATATATATATATATATATATATATATACAAATATATATATGTAAAATATATATATATATATATATATATATATATATATACATATATATATACTTACTAATTATTATGTTTTTATTTTATCTTACATTTTAGTAAATAGGAAAAATTATAATAACTATAAACATATGACGCCTACAGCTATAATTCACCTTTCAATTTGTCTCATATTTTATCGCAGATTTTACTACCACTTTTATTCTTTAATAAAACTTAAAAAAATCAATTTTTTAGTTGTAGTGTTATATATCATTGGAAAGAATAAAAGCTGATTTTAATAATTAGCATTGTATTTTTATCAGCCATTTTTTTACATAATGATATTAGGTTATAAAGTTTAATAATTTTTCACTATTTCTCAATTATTCGAAAAATAATATGGCTGACTTTTTTTATTTTAATAACACCTCTAAATAACTTTATTCAAACACTAAATATATATATATATATATATATATATATATATATATATATATATATATATATATATATATATATATATATATATAATATATATATATATATATATATATATATATATATATATATATATATATATATATATATATATATATATATATATATAACGTAAACTATATCATTTTAATTTGTAATTTTTTTTTATCGAGGGATGATCGGCACTTTTAAAGATTTTGATATTAAGTTATTTCTCGTGTAATGGTCTCTCATGATACTTTCTAGTTTTCGGGTGCCCGACATGTTAGAGTATATTCTTTCTATGTTATTAAATTCTGCGTGTATACTTTCGCCACCTTGTTCTCCATATAATCCAAGCCCAACTCCCCATTTGTTTTAAAAAACTCCCATATGATCCTCTAACATATGCATTTTTGGAGTTATCGATTCATTTGGCCAATTAGTTCGAAAAAACGTCAATAGTTTATGAACCGTTGCTTTTAAAATAAAACAAACTTAACTAATAAATGTATTGGTAAAAAAATCACCGTTCCTATCCGCAAGAGGCAACAGTTAAGATCTTAAGAGTGTTAATATATATATATATATATATATATATATATATATATATATATATATATATATATATATATATATATATATATATATATATATATATATATATATATATATATATATATATATATATATATATATATATATATATATATATATATATATATATTAATATAGATATATTAATATATATACACATACAAGGGCAGATTAGGGAGAGGGGTCTTATTTATATATAGTCTATAACTTTACCAAAACTCTGTACTTTTGTATTGTTGAATATTTCGCACTTTATATTTTTGAACAGTTGAATATTTTTCTTTGTGACACTTTGAAAACTTCTCAAACAAAACTTGGAATTTTTTACATATGCCAATCGCCTCCATCTGAATTGGATGTTCTGGAAGGTTTGTATGATTAAAAACTGTTTGAGGAACTGAGTTGCATAACTTTATTATGTTTTCATACTAAAAAATAAAAAATAATTTTCTAAAAAATAAATTTTAAGAATATAAATTATATAAGATCAGAATGGAAATGATAAAAAAAAGTTGTCAAAACTCCATAAACCTGCATAGTATACAGAAAAACAGATCAATGTTATTGCCTAAAAGAATAAATATATTTAAATAACAATGTTGCCAATAACATTTTATGAATATGATTTCCAATAAAGGAGCGACTATGATAAGCTTGACGTTGCACTTCACATGACTGCAAAACAGATCCAATTTCCTCTACTATTGGGCCGGCTCCTTGATTCAACTCAACTTTAAAACATTCTGCAATTCGTCCCTCCTTATAATCCGAATGTCCTTAAAATAATACAATGTTTCTTATACTTTTTAATGTAAATATACCTTTTCTGTTCTCTTTGATTCTAACAGTGCAATTCTCTCTTCGTACATTACTTTTATGTTTTCTGAATTTTCAGGGTTATGAAATACTTCAATAACACAAGCATCTTGAATAAGAAGAATTTTGTTATTTATATCTTCAATGAAATATTTTAACTGGAATATCTCTACCTGTTTCTCAACATAGTCATCATATTCACTTAAATGAATACGTTTATCATTAATTGCAAAAACTCCTGCTAGTTTGATATCAAGAAGATGAGACTCTTTCTCCAACAAGTTGAAAAATTTAAGAAATATTCCTAATGTAATGTGGAGAGCTGGTATCGCTATCTATAAAGAGATTTATAATAATATATAATACTTAACAACTTTTTATTAACTTTTTGATGTGTAGTACATATATTACTGGCAAAAATGTTTTGACAACAACTACAAACCTGTTCAATTGGTATATCAAATAATGGCTCGTCGATTACATTATTAAACTTCTTTGCATTTTTATTGTTACCTCCATCATTTTTAAAGCGTTCAAAATCTGATTTTAAAGATTCACGTGTTCTCAAAAGGATTGATTGATTTCAATCTTTCATACTCAATTGCATTTCATTTTTTGTGATTTCACAAAATAAACAGCAATGTCGACCTGTCAAATGATATTATTTTTAAATTTCTGATAAACACTATGCACTTTTAATAGTTAACTCAAAAAGTACTGAAATCACGGTCTAACCAGTTGCTCCTGAGATGCCATAGACAGCACAAAAAAATTCAAAATCGCCAAATATAAATACACGTAAATTCTTTTCTCTAAAACAACAATGCTTTAAAATCAAATCATAACTAAAATAGATATTTCTACAAATATTTATTAATGTAATTATCCCAAACTAAATTTCAGAAATATTTTTTTATTCACCTCCATTTCATTGACTGAATCTGTCTTATTTCATCTGCGTGCCTTGATAGCCTAATTTTAAGGTTTGCACGATAGTCTTTGGCCTCAAATATATTAAAAACTGTTGTATTATTCTTTGAATTGGGATTTACAACATTAGCTACTTGATAACACATTTTGAACGAACTCCATAGTCTCCTCCTATCTTATATCTTGTCATACATGAGTTGGTTATGCCTATAATGATATTATTTTTAACGCAATTTTTATTTATAACCAAATAATTTTTACAAACTTAAGCATCAACATTTTTGCTTCATAACACAACAAATTAGACTTCTAATCAACATCAATGTTGTAATGACAACTGATATGAACATTCAGTCATTTTTTAGCATCAATTTAGCATAAATTGGAATCTAAAATTGAGCACATAATTTAACGTCATGAATATTAGCCATTTTTTGGTATATCCAAGAATCTAGTATTTAATATAATAAGTTGGTATTTATAATAAACACAAATAATTTTTAAATAAAATTTAATAGAATACAAATCTGGATTTGAATAATAAAGAAGCATTTATCATGCTTATAATTTTAGTTTTATTTTGAACTTACCTTTCTAATTCATCAAGCACCTTGATTAAATGTGATGATAAATCATTTATATATGCTGTTGGTGTTTGTTGTAAATCAAAAGTCCCTTTTTTGTTTATTGATTCCACCGGAAATTCTTTATCTTCAACAACCAAATCATCACCTGACCAATTTTTCGTTGATTTGAAAGTGAAGGTAGTTTGACATTTTTTGACTTGAAAAATCTAAAATATGAAATAATTTTTTGAGTTTTTTTGGTTTGTATATGTTGAAAAAAAAAAAGTAAAAAAAAAACATGCTAAAACTACTTTTGTAATGTAAATATTTATAAATGTAAAATTTAAAAATATTTATAATTTGAGATAACTGAATTAGCTTTGTATGCAAAAAGCAGTGTAATAAAAACTATATTATTAACCTAATCATTTTTTTCATTTTTTCCGAAGGTAAACCATAGTCTGCCTTTAGTGAAACAATGTCCTCTGACCCTATCTCAACTTGAGAAATATTAGCGTTTTTTAGTATATCAATTTTATCATTTTTATCAAAGGAATTGAGCATAAGCGCTACTTGTTGCATTTGTGCCTTTTTTGTCGGTCCTGCATTCTCTATTAGTGATTGATGTAGTTGCTTTTGACTTTGAATTTGTTTTTGAATGGTTTTTTGACTAATATCAGTTGATGTTTTGTAGATTTTTGGAGTTGCTGAAAACTGTATAGCCTGTAATAGACAATTTATTTTTTCACTAAATGCAAATATTTGATTTACTTCTTTGAAGAATCTGCAGTTTTTAAAAAAAAATTATATATTTCTTACCCGTGGACCACCAGAAGGAAGTTCAAATGAATGTGAATTGTTTTTTGCCATTTTTAGTTTTGCAAAGTGAGCCAATGCATAGTCTAATTCTTTAGGAATGTCACAAGTTTTATCCATTTTGTAAATGTCTGCAACTGTCAATGAGGAGTGTGATGATGCTGAACAACTGTATGATATGTTTTCACTTTTGTATACTTGTTCATGTTCTTCCTTGTTGCTTATACTTTTTGTGTCAAATTTTATGATTACATGACAATTGCCATTGCATGTATTTTTAGAACACTTTAGAGCTATACTCTCAAGGATGTTTTGCTTTTGAAATACGACCTAAAGTTATGTTTGAGCAACATATTGGGCATTTTGCTTCTGTTTCTAATTTTCCAATTAAATTTGGAAAAATACATGAAGCACAAAATAAATGTTGGCAGTTATTAAGTAAGACAGGTCTATGTATTATTCTTTTGCAAAACATGCAGACACATAAGTCTTTGTGTGGGTGATCAGCTGTGTTGATAGACTCATAGCACATGCAAGACATATCAGAAAAACTGTCTAATATTACATTAAGTGACTCTCTTGTTCAAATAACTTTATTGCCTGATGGTGGTCTTCCACATTGCTTCTTCTTTCTACCGGACTTCTTTACAAAACAGATGCATCTTTCAAGTGAACATGTTTGTGGCCAGTGTTTTATACTGAAATTTGATGGGGTTGTTCCTCGTTGTTCGATATGCCTCATTACTGTATAGCATTTCATGCAAATTTTTGGTGGGTGTGTTTCTGCTCTGTCTTCTCCTACCTCAGTAAAAAATGCCTGGTCAACTCTAACTCTTATTGATATAACATCAAATGAATCATTGCCAACATAATTTCCACATAATCTGCATAGCTTGACAAAACAAGATAAGTGGTTAGCAGCAGTAGCAGTCGCCATATTAGGTAGTAAGGTACACTTTTTTAAATCAAAATTTCTTTAACTTTAAAAAATGGCTGGTAAATAAATTTGGTGTTTTTTAAAAGTATTTATATTTTTGTTTTAGAATTTATTTAGTTCTCAAAGCAAAAAATTGAATTAAAAAAGTTACAGTAGTTTAAAAAACAAGAAATTTTGAAAAAATACATATTTTTAGAGCCATTTAAAATTTGTTAAAAACCAATGAAAGTAAACTTTGTTTTATTTTGCTATCATGTTTGGTCCTATAAAGTCGTTGAATGAGGAAGAACAACATTAAGAAGGAAAAAGTACAACAGTTTTAAAATGTGTACCTATTTATACGGTTTCTAAAATATAGGATTTCGACTCGAAAAAAAAAATCAATGTAAACGCATGCGCACTATAAGTGTCTGAAAGGGATCGATATTAAACGACCGTGATTAGCTTGTGCCTTTAAACAATGGGATCCCATCAACATAAACAACTAACTCAATTTTCTCAAGATCTGGAAATTTACTTAAATGTTTTAAAATATTAGTTTCCAAACCATAGTAAATGTAATCGCCACCACACTTATTCTGCAGTGGAATGTTACTTGCAGTTTTCAATAATGTCCTTGCATCTTGGAAGCTCTGCGTGGCCATTTTTTCTCAAAATAAAAAAAAGTTGATTTGTTGCAGAGTGTGAGGTTTGGTTTACAACAACCCATTCTGCTAATTCTTCATATAGATTTCCATTTACTATTTTGTCACCTATAAAGTTTCCATGATTTAAGATACAAGATTCAGACTCAGAACTATCAGAGACTTCGGCTGAGTCAAGATTGGAATCTGTGTCGAAATCTGTTTCTTCAACACCGTCAACTTCTTGCTCAATTAAGTCTTCGGAAACAACTGTATAATCTGAAACATTTATTTGTTGTTCATCTGTTTCTATTGTACTAAATGTCTCAGTAAATAAATCAATTACTGATTTATTAATTTCTTTCCATCGAGTAACCCGTGATGACATAGCAACTAAATATTTTTACTTCTATAAATAAATAAATATACTTATATCAGGGTGTTAGCTAAAAAAATATTTTATACTGAACTTTTTATGAAACTGTTATATATATATATATATATATATATATATATATATATATACATATATATATATATATATATATATATATATATATATATATATATATATATATATATATATATATATATATATATATATATATATATATATATATATATATATATAATATATATATATATATATATATATATATATATATATATGTATATATATATATATATATATATA